CCTTTAGAGATCCAGGGGGAGAGAAAGTGCGGGAGCCGCAGCCCTGCTGGCAATTCACTGCGACGGGGGGAGGCCCTGCCGAGCTTCTCCCAGCCACGGAATGAGGAGTTGAGGGAGTAAGTACCACAGACGAAAGCAGCAGCTTCTTTAATTAAGTACGAAAAATGGCAAGTGCAGGTATGAAAGCAGAAGGGAACTTAACGGAATCCATCAGCTTGACCTTGATTTACAAGATTCTGCATGGGGACAACGGGAGCTGTTTGTTAAGGTGAAGTATTACTACCTTCGTGAAGACAAGCTCCCCTGACTCCACGCCTTCGGTCCTGCAAGCAGGAGCTTCCTTGACAAGCGTGTTTATCAAGTGCATCAGTGTGTTGTTTTGCACGCTCAGTTTCAGCCTCTGTCACTCTTCCCCTTTGCTTGATTAACATGACGGACTTGTTTGGAAAATCCTTCAGGTGGAAGGAAGACAAGGAGAGGAGGAAGCCTGCCCGGGATCATCATATAACAGAGCCCCTCTCGGGCTCTCAGCCTCTCCTCTCGCAAACACTCCGCCTCTCCCTTCTCCTGGTCCTCCAGGATCATAATTATTTGTAGTAAAGCAACCAGCGGCCAGCGGTGCAGCCAGCGGTGCAGCCCTGTGTCCTGCCTCATTAGATGCTCAGAGCACAGTAGAGAGTGGTTCATGTATGATTGATCATCTTCTCTAACTCAGATCCTTGTTAGGAACGAAAGAGAAGTTTAAGGGGTTTCTTTGCATCATCTCAGTGCTGTTGAGATCCCCTGAACTCCCCAGAAAGGTGAGGCATTGGTGGTCTGGTGGTAGAGTCCTTGACCACCACATGGAAGGTGGAGGTTCGATTCCCAGCCACTGCCTCTCTCGTGTCACCGCCTTTCATTTGCGTGCAGGTTGTTACAATGCAGAACAGGTTTGAGTGAAGCTTCTAGACTAACTTGGCTTAGGAAGCAAGACCTGATGATCTTAACACATCACTAGTGAGAAGCCTATGGGTCATAGCGGCCCAGCTGGCTGGTGCAGAGCCAGTGCCACTTCCTCTGCTGTCTGCTGTGTCACCAGGAGTCAGACGTCAGCGTGACTTCAGAAAACGACAGCATGAAGTGAGGTGGTGCCGCGTGTCTCTCCCATTATGCTCTGCCCTCCCCAGTAGCCCTGGACCGCTGCTCCATGCCACACATCCTGTGCCGAGCACTTCATTTTCATTTGCTTGGTTTCCCTAAAATAGCTGTCTGGTAATGTTTATCCTTGCCTTTTGGAATGCACAGGTGAGAGTCAGAGCTGTGCAGTGATCCGTCCAAGGTCACTCAGCAGACTAGTGGCAGAGCCAGAAGCCCGAGTGAGACATAGTTCCAGGGACCGTGTGAAATGAAATACAGATTCAGGTTAACCCAGTTTATCCAAAATACCATTTCAACTGATTAGAACAGTTAGACACTTCAGACTGAGATAGTGTCCCTTTTTTCTTATTTAATAGCAAGTCCTCAGAACCCAGCAAGCTTTTTGCAATAAAAGCCTCAGTTCAGCCCAACCACACCTGAAGAGCTTAGTAACTAGAAGGGGTGAGTGCTAGTACAGCTTTCGCCTTGGTTTCTGAAGCACAGAAAACTGAACACCCACCAATAAGAGTTGCCTTGAGCTCAGTAGAAAGGTCCTCAGAGGCGTTTCTCCTGGTCTCAGGATAGAACAGGGTACATCCAGGATTGGAAATGCCTTTCTTGCATCCTTTTCTCCCTATCAGACAATATTCCCCAATATGCTTGGTGAATCTGTGTATCTGTGTCTTTGTGTGTGAATATGTGTTCTCATTTTGTAAAAAAAAAAAAAAATCTCAACACAGTGTACAGTGTTCTTAGAAAAGACTTCATGGTACAGAGCATAAGGTAAAAGAGACAGAATACGGCAAAGGGAAGATAAACGTTAAGTTTGATTCCCTATCCTGTGTTGACTTGAGCAGTTATTTCATCTCTCCTGCTCTCCTTCTACTCCCTGTCCTTAAAGGATTGTTGAGAAAGCAGTAAAGCATTTAGCATAAAACCTGAGAAGTTGTTGTTGGTATCTCAAGCCTTGGTTCATGGTGATCACATGAACAAAACATTGTCTAGTCCTGGGCGGTCCCGAGGATTGGGTGGGAACCAAACCACTGAGATTCATAAGAGTTGTTCGCTGGCTAATTTTCAAAAGTAGAAGAGAACTATTATTCCCACTGAGAACAGAAAATTTTTTATTAAGAATTGGCTGTTATTACACGTTATTTTCAAAGCCTTGTCACGCTGTTCTTATTATTCAGCAAACTCAACTGAACTTACACCACCAAGTTGGAACCAACTCATTCAGAGGCTGTAAATGGTAGAGGAGGAGATTACCCCTCTTCTTCTCAGAAAAGCTTGTGGCTCCAACCTGCCTTAGAGTTGCCAGGATAAGGCCTTGGCCTCATGCCATCAGAGCCAATGAACTTGCAGTCTTGATGACCTTACGTATCATTTCCTGGTCCTCTGCCATTTTCATGGTCCCTGTATAATTGCAATAAAAGAATCATATGGACAAGATCCGTAAACACAAATGCAAAGGAATGGTACCCAGGATGCTGAAGTTACAAAGCAAGTTCCCACGTTTGTGATGTGGTTGTGAGATTTTGTTGCATCATCTCTGACTCATAGACACCCCCGTGCACACTGTGACTAAAGGCATCCCAGCCCTATGCCGTCCTCACAGTCTCTGCTGTGTTTAAGACACTTGCAGTTCTCATTGTGTCGGTCAGTCCCAATGAGAATCTTCCCCTTTTACACTGCCCTCAACCATCCCTGAGGTCTCTGTCCAGGAACTGTTCCCTCCTGGCAACCTGGCAGAAGCGTACGAGATGACATCTCATCATCTTTGCGTCTAAGAAGCGCTCTGGCTACACTTTGATACGTTTGTCAATCTTCTTCACCAAAACCACAATCCAAAGACATCGGTACCTGTCTTTCAATGTCTTTTAAAGATCTTCTGTTGTTGTGTACTATAGAGTGGGAACCAACCCATAGCTGACCCTCTGGCAGTTTTCAGAGTCAGTTAATTGCACGGGAGGAGCTTGCCCATCCTTTTCTCACAGAGCAGCTAGTGGCCTCGAACCACATGCCTTCAGGATTGGAGCACAGCTTCTTGTCACTTGACGACCGGCACTTCCTTTTAAGTGTCTGCATTATTTGAATTTTAGTTGACTAGTGTGCTTCACCTCACATACTTTGGGCATGTTGCTAGGCGGGGCTGTTCCTTGGACAAGGACATGATGCTGGGACGGGTGGAGGGTCAGTGAAGGGGAGGAAGACCCTCAGCCAAGTGGATTGACAGAGTGACTGCTGCAGCGGGCTGTTGTATGTCAGGAAGTGTGAAGGTGGCGCAGAATAGAACAGGGTTCAGATCTTTTGTTGATAGGGTTGCTATAAGTCATACTGAACTTGACAGCACCTAACAACAACAATTGGCAATGTGACTTAGTCATTTTTAAATTCCCCTATCAATGTCTATATTGAGATCTACTATTGTAGTTTGGAAGCAGAAGTGACATCCACTTCTAAACAACATACCTCCGGAAACTCTATGAACTTTGAAAATGTTAATAGTTGTAGAGGGGCTTCAGGCCTTTTGTTCATAGGGTCGCTATGAGTCCTATTCGACTCTAAGGCAATCAACAACATTATAGTTTCTGCTGAAGCTCTTCAAGAAATGATCTCCCCATTTCTTCTGTCCTTACTTTAACGGATGCAATTTGATGGATACAAAGAAAGAATTATCTGTTCTTTTCTTCTTTACATAATGTTGTTAGAAAAAATATGGTGAAATTTGTGTGGCATACTTTGGACATGCTATTGGGAGGGTCCAGGGCCTGGAGAAGGGCATCAGGCTTGGAATGTTGAAGGTCAGCAAGGAAGAAGATACACTTATGCAGCAGTGAGCTTTATCAAGCCCAACCGTGGTCGTGGAGAAGACACAGGGTGGAGCGGGGTTTTATTCTGTTAACATTATTCTTGTTATTCTTGCTACTGTGAGTAGAGTAGTGATTCAACAGCATCTAACACCACCACCACCACCAGATAGGAGATTATTGATACTTTTTTAGTTTAAAATTTTTTTCCAGCTAGAAAGCATTTTAAGCTCTATTAACATAATAATAAAGGAGTTTGGTGGCCTACTTGGTAAAAACTTACACTACCAACCCGAAGGCATGTAATTCCATTACATCAGCAGCTCCACAGGGGGAAACAGTCAGTCTCTTCCCATGTGATTTATAGCCTCTGAAAACCCATTGAAGGGTCAGCTGTGAGTTAGTTCTGACTTGAATGACAATGAGAATTAAAATGAAAAAGAATATAATATTCTTAATATTATATCATAATATTATACGTAGTATATATAACTATATATAATAAATATAATAGTATATTTGTATGTGGTAAGAGTAGCTTTTAGTTGTTGTTGTTGTGCACTCTCGAGTCAGAACCAACCCATATCTGACCCTCCAGTAGGTTTTCAAAGGCAGTTAATCACATGAAAGGAGGTTGCCCATCCTTCTCCTGCAGAGCGGCTGGTGGCCTCGAACTGCATGCTTTTGGGATTGCCATGCCGCTTCTTGCCACTGGGCCACTAGACTTTTCATTTCACATATATCAAATTCTTATAAATGCCCATCGTCGATAATAGGGCACTGAGCAGCTTGTGGGGTGTTTCACTGCCCCAGCCTGGTGTGCGCCCAGCCCCAGGATGCTAACACACTGAGCCAGTCCTGCTTCTAGAACCTCAGAAAGAAAGAGCAGTCAGCCGTGGTGAGCGTGGCGATCTTTGTGGTCACACATAAATATTTACCATGTTGATTTCAAAATTGAGCAAACAGGTGGTAATTGCCACGGTTGTAAGAAATCGACCGGGGCATCTGTAACCTTGAGTCACCAGCCTGTGGAAAATAGAACTCGCCTGACTTTTATCTGTCCATTCTTTTCTGCAGAGGTTACTACATAATAATTGTGCCTTTGAAGAAATCGCGTGGGAAATTTATCAAGCCCTGGGAGAGTCCGGATGAAATGGAATTAGATGAGGTAACTATATTGTGTTTGTCTGAGCCATTCACTGCTTTATTTATTGTGTGCCGTCACCTCCCCCTCTGCATAGAGGCCTTGGGGCATCTGGTCTGGGGCTGACTTCCGTGGGAATGGCCGGTCGGAGGGCTCTGTCAGTCGGGGGTTAACATCCAGGGAGCCCAGCAAAGATCCAGAGTCTTTAATGAAAAGATTTTTTAAAGGTTTTTTATTTTCTTTTATTATTTTGTGTGTGTACCGTCAAATCGGATCTGATTGGTACAGGAGGACTTTGCCCCTCCTTCTCGAGCAGAGCATCTGGTGGATTCAAACCGCTTACCACTGGGATTGCAATGCAGCTTCTTGCCACTAGGCCACCAGAGCTCCCTTTAGTGAAAAGATTTTAAGCTGCAATAAAGTTCCCAATCTGTCTGATCATTGTTGGCCTTAACATGTCGTTGTGCCACTTGTAAAATATGAAGCAAAGATATGGATGGAGAAGTGACTCTTTATCCAAGACTTCCTTACCACGGATAGGAAGCCCAAGAAGGCTGTTTAGAAGGAGCCTGGGGGCTCAGTGGTTAAAACACTCGGCTGTCAACTGAAAAGTCAGCAGTTTAGACTCCGTGGGGGGAAGATGAGGCAGCCTGCTTCTGTGAAGATTATCTGCATTGGAAACCCGATGGAGCAGTTCTTCTCTGCTCTGTGAGATGAGTGGGAATTGGTTATGTGGCAGGAGGGTGGGCTGGTGGAATTGAGTGGGAAGGGCTGGGATGGGATGACTGTCACAGGCACGGTTCAGATTTGTGCCCGAGTTTACCATTTGACCTATTCTGTGGACATTGCCAATTTTCACTAGAATCTCACTGAGTAGGAGATGTTTGCCTTTTTTCCTTACGCTGTAGATTTTCAGAATTGAAGAGACTTTTTTTAAAAAAGAATTATTTTATTCATTTTAATGAACAGATATTTTGGTTTTCCATTCATTCATTGTAGCACTATTTTCTCTACCCTCCCCCAGTTCATTCGTCTCTTTTTTTTCCCCCTTGAAAGTCTGTTTTAATTGTCCCATTGCCACAGTGCTTGTCAAAACCAGTTCTGATTAATCTTCTTTGTCTGTGTGTCCTTTGCCATTCCCTATCACTCCTCCCTGAGAGAGATTTCACCCTGATTCATAAGGAAAAGGGGATGGCGTATTCTCTTAGCTACTTCCTGCTGAAAAGGGACGCTGTGGGTTTCAGGGTGAAGATCTTCTCTCACTACTCTAAAGGGCCCCTTTGGCAGCAGGAAACACATAGACTATTACAGAGCTTGATTTTGGAATTTAGATGCACTATTATCACTTGTGCTTAGCCGTACATGTTCATATCCTTGAAGATGCATCATGGAACTTTTGCAGCCTAGATGACACAAATTTAACAAGTTAAAAGTACACATTTACAATATTTTTCTTACCAAAACCATTTATGGAAAATAGTAACTGCATTGAAACATGTATCTCTGGATTGGAAATGATCATATTCTTAATATTTCTAGCCTCAAACTTATTACACAACAATAGCAACATGGTACAGAATATGTTTCTGCAGAAAGGGCTGGCGATCTGCTTCCACGAATCAGCCAGTGAAAACCCCGTGGATCACTGTGATCTGACCCAGAGCATGCATAGTGCTTTTTTCCCTTTGACTAGATGGCAAATAACACCAGTAACACGTGTAGATGAGAAAATCGGAGTGTTGAGCCAGCGCTCAGAGACTACAGCCACTTCATGGCTGAGGTGCAGAGGTTGAAAGGTGAGAGAGTGGGCTGTTTTCATTGGATGCTGATGACCTCAGTAGGTCAATAACCAGCCCCTATTTGGAGGAATATTTTTAGTGTTTTGGTTATTTGGTGCACCTTCTAGGTCTTTTTCTTTCTGGATAGTTTCTGCCCTTCAGCTGGTGCAGACCAGGCAGGAAATAGAGGAAATCCCTCCAACCAGCATTAGAGAGAGGCTGTAGTTTCACACATGCCGGCGTGAAGGAGAAGATCCGACAGATGAACGCCCTTAGCTTCCTCAGGCACTCAGGTCCTGTTGAGGAGTGCACGCCTCTCCTCTCCAGGTACCCCATGGCATCTGTGTTCAATTCCATCTCGTTAGGAGCAGGGAGGAGTTCAAGGTTAGGCCTGGGCTGCTGTCTCTCCACTTTGCGGCATTCAGAACAAGCAAGAACCAACTTGTGTGGTTGCATCGATTGTGACTCACAGAGACCCTGTGTGGTTTCCAAGCCTCTAAAGTGGTATGGAAACAGGCTATCATAACTCACTTCTATAGATCAGCTGCTGGATTTGAACCACTGACCTTTCGGTAAGCAGCCACCATTGTGCCACCAGGGATCCTGTTTAGTGATATTGTAAGGGTATAACATTTATCAGAAACCACTCTGATCTTCTTAAAACATTTAGGTGCATTAAATTTTGTTCCCTATTGGTGATTTAAAACCCACTGTCATTCATGGGTATTGAAGGAGCAGCAATGCTCAGTTTGAGGATGTTACTAACATCGTGAAGCAAGAACATAGTACGCTTGTAACTGATATGTTAAAAAGTTCCATGTGAACAAAACCGTTTGTACTTACCAGTTCATGTCATGGGTGGTCATTCAGACTCATCCTACAGAGGCACTAAGGAAAG